AAAACTGAATGCTCCTTTCTCCTTTGCTTGCAAAGAAAGGTAAGAGTTAAGCCCAGAGAAAGGAAAAAGAATGGCAGGTATGTAGACTTCCAGAAAGCAAGCACCATTGGAAGAGTTGTATCTCCTTTTGACAACAAGCTTAGAGCAAACGACAAGCCCCGTCAGGTAAGTGCATTTATCTTTAGGGGAAAGGCGGCCATACCAAAGCAAGAATCTCTGATGCTGGCGTGTCAGCAAGCACAAGAAGTCATAAAGCAAGAAGGCTATCGATGCAGGAGGCACAATGGTAGCTAGACTATAATTAGGAGGAGCTATGAGTGGGTCCTACAGCTCCTGGCCCTTGGAAGTCAGGATTTTTCCCCTCTGGGCTGGATTACCAGTCAAGTAATCAGTGGCATCCTCTATCAGCCATCGCTCAACTCAAGGTCTCAAAACTGCTTTTAATTCTGAAAGTTTTGCATCAAAAGAAGCTCTGATATTTCTCACAAATGCTAAGCAACCAAGATAAACATGAAAATGAACAGCGGCATGATCTTTTTTTAATTGATTTGACATATAAGTATCCTCTAGTCCAGGCACTGAACAAAAGATGGCTTGGTCAATGAAGCAGATTTAGTCTTGACCTCACCTCTGATGAGTTGTATTCTGAAAAACTACAAACACTGCATGCAGGCATATGTTAAAAGGGCTTTGGAACGGTGGCAATGAGGAAGAAAACGGGTCAAAACTTTCGAGGCCTTCATGGGGAACGTGGCATCAAATGAAAACTTGAAAAGAAGGTTGAAAGGCCAAAGAACGAGAAAAACTGGTAAGGTGTTTGCCTGACACACGGTCCATCTGGGTTCAATCCCCAGTACCCCACATGGATCCCTGATTCCTGTCAGGAGTGATATCTGAGCACAGAGCCAGAAATAAGCTTTGAGCACTTCCAGGTGTAGCACAAATAAGTAAACAAAACCAGAGAGAGGTTGTGGACTGGCATGTAGCCGTCTAGCTCCAGAAAAGGCCTCCCACTTCTCACCAGGACTTCCAGCTCATTCCACTTCTAGTTCTCTTTCATGCCACAACTTTTTATTTGGTAGAGATTTTCAATGGTAAATGCAATTAAATTTCAACTGCAGTGACCTTTTTCATACTGTGAAAATCATGAAAGTTTTTGAATAAAAGCAAACGAAAAGGGGAGTGAAGAATAATAACAAGTGTAATAAAAATAGCCCTAGAGGAACACTTAGATGGGAGAATTGGATGGTACGGGAGTTATCTCTCAATAAGGCTGCTAGAAATGAAAAAAATTAAAATAGTGCTGGAGGAAATGTGAGTAATGTGGCATTTAAAAGGAGAAGGACGTTAAGGAAGTTACATTTCCTTCACTTCCTTACCTGTGAAACTGGGATGCTATGACCTGCCGTGTGTTAGCCAAGGAATACGCCTGAGAACAAACCCAAGTGGAAAAAAATGCACCATAATAAACAAAAAGTAGTTTTTTAGTAATAAGCAAATAAATAAGCAAATTTTAATTTGCTTTTCAGATAAATAAGCTAATTTAAATAAGGAAGCAAATTTACTTCTTCATCTCCAACAACAACTAAGTTTCTTCCTGTGTCATTAGAAATAAGCCACCTACCCCAACCTGCAAGCGTGTGCTCAGGAGCTTATCCTTTCTGAAACATTAAAGTAGCAGCGGCAGGAAGTTCTGGAAAACATAGATTATGCGAGCAGGCTTCCCCGTGGCACAGCTGCAACACAATCCGGAAAATTCAGTCTCCAAATCGATGGTTTCCTAATCCATTAACATTGGTTGGTAGGAATTTTGACCATTCATGTAAGTCAAAAGACCAAAATAGACAAACGCACACACACACACACACACACACACACACACACACACACACACACACATGGCCACAATATTTCAAGCCCAGAACATAATACCAAGTTCCATCCCCATCCCCTAAAAACACACAAACACACACACACACACACACACACACACACACACGTCTGCTCATGTTCAAAGCAACATTCCTGCCAGTCTCGGAAACAGAACACTTTCTGGATTTCCTTCCCATTTTATGAAGGAAATGTAAACTGAAAATGTTACCTGTTTTCTCTCGTGGTGGGCAGATTATTTCTGCTTTTCAAATTCCTGATTTACTGGCTTTATAGAAATGAAACCTCTGTACCAAGAGCTTAGACAAGTAAATACAAAACATGGTTTTCCACTGCTTTTAAAAGGCTGAAGTCATCTTTCCCCCAGTTCTTACATAGTGGTACGCTTAAAAAAAAGCCACTTAGATCAGTCAGGTCCAATAAATCAGTGGAAAAAATAAACGGGAAAGCATGCCAAAATGTAACCATAGTAACACCACAGATGCATCAAGAATGGTGTGTTCACTGCTCCGCTCCCCATTTCTTAAATTGGAGCCTAACTAGGGAAAAATTGCACAGAGAACAATCACAATTCTGCAATGACTGGATTCTGCGATACTGTGTCTAGCCTGCTACACTAGATCTTCAAAGGCAACTGAAGTCCAGCTACAGAAATAGCCCTGGACGGCTTAAGGGCCCCAAGGATCTAGATCTGTCACACAGGTAAGTTCACCTGTGACTCTGTTTCTTTATCTGTAAAATGGGTGTTAAAAATCTCAACTTCAAAGAATAATTCTAAGAATATAGCAAGATGGGGCAATGATGGGCTTAGGAATCCTGAAGTCTTGGCCACTTTTGTTTTTATTGGATTTCCCTGATGCCTTGATTTCTTGACCTATTAAAATCGGTATCCTATGCGGCCCACTGAGCTCAACCAGGAGTGATCCCTGAGTGCAAAGCCAGTAGCAATCCCTGAGCACTATTGGGTATGGCCCCAAAACAAAACAAAAAAGAATCCTTCACCCATTGAACTAACATAATTAGGATATCATTAGGGTTGTAATTTTCCATTTCAACACTAAAAAATCTAAAAGAAACAAGGTCAGAGTTGCACATTAATATATCACTACATCTTCCAAGCAAGTGTGCTCTGGTGCTCAGCAGAGAAGGGTAATTTTGTCTTGTTTTGGGGCCAAACCCAGGAGTGCTCAGGTCTTATTCCTGGCTCTACACTCAGATATATTCCTGGCAGGGGTCAGAGGACCACGTGGGATGCTGGGGTTTTAATATAGGTCAGCCATGTATAAGGTAAGCTTCCTACCTGCTGAAAAATCTCTCTAGTCTGAAAGGGGCAATCTTAAGGCTTGCAATCAACCTCTATTCCTCTTGGAACCTGAGTTTTTTTTTTAAAAAAAGATGAAGGACAAATTTGTTCTCTAAAGGTCTCGTCTAGGACTGTAAAGATAGGGCAGCAGGTAGGGCACTTGCCTTGCATTCAACTAAGAGGTTTGACCCCAGGCACCCATATGATCGTTCCAGGAGTGATTCCTGAGCACAGACCCAGGAGTATACCCTGAGCACAGCCGGGTGTTGCCTAAAACCCAAATAAATAAATGCCTCAGTCTAGACTTAGAGTCTAAGTTCTTAAATATCTATGGAATATCTTATTAAATATATTAATTTGGAAGGGAGGAGAGCAGTAGTATCAGAAAACATTAGACTCTAGCACATCACTTGCAAAATAATATTTAAAAAATAAAACCATTAAAAGCAAATAAATTAGCAATAAACAGAGTAGCTTCCATTTTGATGTATTCCTCACTCTCCTGAGTTGACTAAAAATTATATTTCTATGAAAGCACAGAGGGTAGGGCATTTGCCTTGCACATGGCTGACCTGGGTTCGATTCCTCCGTCCCTCTCGGAGAACCTGGCAAGCTACCAAGAGTATCCCGCCAGCAGAGCAGATTCTGGCAAGCTCCCCGTGGCGCATTCGAAATGCCAAAACAGCAACAACAAGTCTCACAATGGAGACGTTACTGGTGCCCGCTTGAGCAAATCAATGACAGTGTGGACAGTGTGGACCTTTGAAGGCCTGACTAATTATGCAAAGAAAAGTTCAAGTGATAAAACCAGAAAGACTCTTTTATATTCTGAAAAAAATGGAAGAATTCGTGTCTTTCTAGAATACCTACCGTACAGTTAGCTGCCTAGACACAGTTTGATAGAGTCTAGTAATATTTCACTATAATTAAGCTGCTCATTCAACTACCCCATAGACTGACTAACTTGCTTTCTCCCTCCCTCCCTCCCTCTTTTCCTTAAGACAAAAAATACCTTCCTTTAATGGTCTGGGGTCTGGAATTTTTAAGCCATTAAAATAATGCATTTGATCAACTACACATAATGGTTTGTGTACTAAGAAATTTGGGTGACCTGAAGAGAAAATATGGAGGGAAAGAATGCGCTGAGGCATTCCCTCCTCTGAGGAGTCACAAGAACTCTCTGCTCTGCAGAGGTCAGTCTGAAGGCTTGGCCCATTCCATCAAACCTCAGTACTGATTATCACGGATGCTTACACGATGCCAAAACTTTATAAAAGGCATCTACATGCCTCTTCCCTTTTTACTCTTCATAAAAGTACATTGAAGTTAGTGTAATTGAGGTGTCCTTAGTCCTCATGTGAAAAATAAACCTTGCAAATGATAAATGCCTACCCTGGCATTACAAGCTAGTAAATGGAGGGCTAGGTCTTAAACATCCCACTGTCAATTTTGATGCCCTGGACTTAGGGAATTACTAAGAGAGAAAACAGAGAAGTGTTCCAGAACTAACCATGGTGTTCCTTCTTTCCTGAATTTTCACACACATACTCAGCAGTAAGAAATCCCAAACTACATTGGCAGTAGGACTGTGTTGGTACAATGCATATCCGAAACAACTATCTTATGAGCAACTTTGTAAACCACAATGTCTTGGTAAAAATTACAAATAAAAAAAGAAAAGCACAGACAATATCCATAGAAAGGAAGAAAGAAAGAAAGAAAGAAAGAAAGAAAGAAAGAAAGAAAGAAAGAGGAAGAGAAAGAAAGAGGGAAAGAGAGAAAGGAAAGAAGCCCCCAAACTACTTACAAGGCACAGCATGGCGGTAAAGGTTATCCCTTATGGTCTGCTGGAGCTCATGATCAGGAGACCCTTTCTGGAACCGTTGATTAAGGAAATGTCGCAGGTCCTTGTTCAGCTTTCCTCCTGCAGGAAATACATAAAACAGACAGAATACATCAACAATAGGACTTCCTAGCACCCGAGGGTCTGAGGCTGTATATAGGAGAGTCAAGAAAGCAAGTCTATTCAACTACCATCACTCATTATTTTTGGTTTTCCTCAACAGGGAAAACAGCAAGGGAGAACATAATCAAATATGGAAATCGCACTGATTCGGGGATCCCAGTTCCCATAACACTAGGTAGCTAAAATCAAGAAAGTAAACTGGGCTATTGCATTGGCAATGTGAGGCAGGCATTTGTGGCATTGTCTGTGGGAGAGCTAAAGCTGCGAAGAGGAAAATCAAGCAATATCAGACAAATTATAAAATGTTCTTCGGCCAGGGACTCAACCGGTACAAATTCATGTAGCGCAGTGGATATACTCCCAAATGGCTGCCCAAATCTTGAATAATGTTTACTGCAACATTTTTATGAGTAAAAACAAACCAGCAGAAAAAAAAATCCCAGAAACTACCCGTGGGGATTGATTGATGAAGTAGAGTTTTATATACATACAATAACTATTCTGAAAGCTAGCTCTTTCTGTGTTGATGTTGCAGGAAGTGTGTGCATACTGCATGCTGTGTGATCTTCCTGCGTAAAAGCATGGAAAAAAGGTGAGATCATATACAAATGGATGGAATTGCCAACTTTTAACAGTAATTACTTTCAGGGAAAAGAAGTTGAACTTGGAAAACAAAGAAGACATTCTTACATAGACAGTAAGAAACAGACCGATGTTAGTTTCACTATCATATTTATAACATATATATATATATTGCTTTTTATTGTTTTTCTTGGGCTGGAGTGATAGCACAGTGGGTAGGGCATTTGCCTTTCACGTGGCTGACCCTGGTTTGATTCCTCTGCCCCTCCCGGTGAGCCCGGCAAACTACCGAGAGTATCTCACCCACATGGAAAGCCTGGCAAGCTCCCGGTGGTGTATTCGATATGCCAAAAACAGTAACAAGTCTCATAATGGAGATGTTACTGGTGCCTGCTAGAGCAAATTGATGAACAATAGGAGGACAGTGCTACAGTGCTATTGTTTTTCTTGGGGGGAGGGAGGCACACCTGGCAGTGCTCAGGGCTTGCTCCTGTTTCTGTGCTCAGCTCAGGGTTCACTGCTGGTGGTGTCTGAGGAACCACATGGGGTGTCAGGGATTGAACCCCAGGTGAACCGTCTGCAAGACAAGCTGCTTACCTGCTATACTAACTCTCTAGCCCGTGCTTTTACTGTTTTTTAGTTATCTGAATAGGTCAGTGTTTTTTCATCTTTGCATTTCTCTATGCTTAACAGAACAAAACAAAAGCTAAGAAAATCATGGCTAAAAAATATGTCAGGAAAGAACATGTCTAAACTTAAAAAAAAAACCCTGCAAATGGGAATCACAATCTACAAGATCAACAATGTTAGCTAGCTAACATTCATTCTTAATGGAGAAAGATGCTTCAGTGACAGGCTAAAAATAACAAGGCTAGATTGTCCGTTCATTTTTAGATGAGATAAAAATTAGGTAAGAAACCTTCTGGCTTGAGAGAAACCATGCGGTCGTCTAGCAACCACGTGAGCCACAAAATCCATGTCTACAAAACTAGTATCATGTTCAAAACAAAATTTCCTGCTATAGTTGACCCTTTCTGAAGAGATGAACATAACCCAGAATGAGCTATTTGATTTGCGTTGCACTTGGCTAAGGTTCCTGGGGGGGAAAAGGTAAAAAGCACGCATTCAAGTCATCTTTATGTCACTCAATAAATATCAACAATCCATCAAAGATCTACAAGGCACTCTACCCAGGTATCTCCATCCAAATTGGCGGTAAGGTTTGAACAGTTTATAAAAGAATATATATGACTTAGGGCCGGAGAGGTAGCACAATGGGTAAGGTGCAGTCAACATTTGTTCGATTCCTGGCACTGAATTTGGTTCCTCTTGTCCTTCCAGAAGTAAGCCCTGAGCACAGCCTGGTGTGGTCCAAACCAACATCCCCACCCCACCCACAACCCCACCTCTCTCTCTCTCTCTCTCTCTCTCTCTCTCTCTCTCTCTCTCTCTCTCTCTCTCCTTCTCTCTCTCTCTCTCTTTCTCTCTCTCTCTCTCTCTCACACACACACACACAACACACACACACAACCAAATAATCCAGCAGTTCCACTCTTACTTACTCAGGGAAATGAAAATGAGAAATCCACATACAGGCACAGGCATATACACATGTACACACAGAGATGAATCTTAAGAATGACTTTGTTCACTATGTTGTAAACTCAAAAGGGGAACAATCCAAATGCTCAACAATAAGTAAGCGGAGTTACACCGAACAACAGCACGCTACCTAGCAATCACAAGGCATGAACTCCAGACGCACAGAAATACTGATGAATCTCTAGCACAGAAAGCTTAGCAAAGGAAGCCACACACTGAACACGTGGCATAGGATTCCACCGATACATAAACTTTTAAAGCAGGCTAAACTAATATACAGCAACAGAAAGTAGTTCACTGTTTACTTGGGGCTGAGGGGAGGCAGAGACAACTGGGGCAAAGAGAATAAGTTCTAGGGTGTGTACCACAATCAATTTCCTGACTTTGCTATTGTGTTGTGTAAGATGTTACTAATAGAGGAGACTGGGGGAAGGGCACAGGGAACTTCTGTGCTATTATTTTTTTCTCAAAACTTCCTGAGATTCTATAAATTTTGAAATAAAGCCTTTTTTTTTTTTAAAAGGGGGGAAGTACAAGGGAACTTTTGGATGGAGAAGTCTGTGATGTGGGCTGATAGCAAAGATTCATACTGTGTCAAAAGTCATGGAAATATACATATAAGTAAATGCATTCATTAGTGTGCGAACAATATTGTAAAAATTGATTCCAATAATTTAAATTATACTTAAATATTAATGACTATGCTGTAAGCACTACTCTAAATGCTTGGTGCTCAATTTCCCATTAGAGACTAAAACAAAACAACAACATAAGTACAAAGAGTGTTAAACCATGGCAGTGAAGACAAAATGGCTAGGGCTTAAACCCTGGTTCTGCTATTTATAAGCTGTGAGCCCTTGCACCGCTTAATCTTAGAACTTCCTGTTCCTTACCTGGAAAAAAAGAACATTAATATAACAGGGGCTCCATGACAAGATTGTTGCAAAGACTGAATGAGATTTGGACAGTACTCGGCAAAAAGAAAGCACTCAATGACAGAAGAAAACTATCACTATTAGAAGGTAGAGCTGACAGAGATGAAGGCAAAAGGTGAAAGAAAGGAGCTCAGATCAAAAAATGGACTATCGCTTTTTTAGAAATGCACAAAAACACAAACACACAAAGCTGCCCCATAGTAAAAAGCAAGAAAAACAATAGCAGCAAAGTATAGCAATATTTAGCAAAATGTAGCAAAAACCAATAATAGCAAAACAAAAAAAAATTAACACTCTAGGGAAATTTTGTGTAAAGGGTTTTTCCCTAGAATTTCTAAGAGAAAAATAAAAATCAATGTCTATAAGAATAGTCTGGATAGATGTAATCTGGTTAACAGACTTAGTGCACACATTATATTACTGGCAGGATTCTGAAGTTGAAGTTCTGAAAAATGAAACCAACTAGCAAACACTGACATTCGATAGTTATACCCGCCACTTTCTAGGTATAAGGCTTTCTGAAATTTGACCAAAAAGATACGTAGCAAATTTCCATTGCCAAGAATCTATAGCTTTATTTTTTTCCCTTAAAAATCCACAGTTACTGACAAGGCACCTCATTTTCATTTGAGCATGAGTAGGAAAGACATCTACTGAGTCTTTGCTCAAGTCAAAAATCCCCAGAGGGCTGGGGCGATAGCACAGCATATGGCATTTGCCTTACATGTGGCTGACCTGGGTTCGATTCCCAGCATTCCATATGGTCCCCCGAGCACAGTCAGGAGTAATTCCTGAGTGCATGCGAGCCAGAAGAATCCCTATACATTGCCGGGTGTAACACAAAAAGAAAAAAAAAATGTCTCTAGAGCCCTACTGGTAGTGGTCCCTGGTCACAGGGTGAGGAATAAGCCCTGAGCACTGTCAGGTGTGTCCCAAGGCAAAAACCCAAATAAATGATTCCATAAAATGTTAAGATATATTATCTCATTCTCCCATATATAACAGGGGTTCACACACCATCATGATCACACACAATATTCTACCCAATAGACCAGAGACAAAAAAAAAAAAAAATCGGAAGACACTCTTAAGATTTAGACACTCTTAGTTTACACTTGAGCTTTACATTAAAACTAGCCAATCTAGCTAACGTGTATGATCATCAAACTAAAACTCTTCTCTACTGCGGATGTGTGAAAGGGCAGGGCTAACTACGCTGCCGGTTAACATTTACTCTGTGTTCCGTGACATTTGTAAGTCAAAAGCCTCAACCTTCTCGTTACATTAAGAATACTGTACTTTGGGGCATAGAATCTCAAATTAATTGCTAATTATTTAGGGGGTATATCTATAACTCTTCTAATTGTCAAGGGCAGTAAGCTAATAAGAAATTGCAAGAGGGAGAATTTGTCATAGCATCCTCTCTTTGAAACGCAAAATTCGTTTTGCAAACGGAAAAGGGAACATACATAGAAAATATGCAGAATTTTCTTCCAGGAAAGATTCAGAGCTTTCTTTCAAGCAATTTTATAGTTTATCTGAAAAGAATGGGGCTTTGACATTGTGTTGGATTTGCCATGGTTTTAAATTTTCTTTTTCTAACTGGAATTTCATATCTTTTAAATTTAAAATGATCGGGACCGGAGCGATAGCACAGTGGATAGGGCATTTGCCTTCCACAAGGCGGACCCGGGTTCGATTCCCAGCATCCCATATGGTCCCCTGAGCACCGCCAGGAGTAATTCCTGAGTGAGTAAGCCCTGAGCATCGCCGGGTATGGAACCCTCCCCCCAAAAAACCCTCTTAATAATAAATTTAAAATGATGCCTCGCTACTTTT